TATTAAAAATTAAAAAATTAATTTTTTAATTTGTAAAATTAAAAAAAAATCCTGCTGTCACAGCTTTCTTCCACATAATCTTATGCCCATATAGCACTTACCTGTTTGTATTAGAAATAATTTCTATGTCTCTGCTTACCTTGATAGAGCATGAGCTCTCAAAGTCATATCCTTACTCTAGAGATAGGCCAGAACCTTCAAAGACCTCAAAGTAAAGATCCATGATTCACCTCCATTAGAATCACTTGGAGGATGTTTCCAAATGCAGATTCCTGGTCTGATTTACCCAACCTTTGGAATTAATGTAGTATTTGTGTGGATTTCTAATAGCTTTTATAAGGTCTTCAGAATGTACCAAGGAGATAATAAATCCAAAAGATGTAACCTAAGAGCTATGCACTGATAGTTCCACTTATTTACTCACACAATTGTTCAGAATCTTCTGCCATGAAATTTGTTAAATGGAGGAATAAAGGAGAAAGCATCACTCTGAGAAGCTTTCATCTTATAACTGAAACCACTTGCTACTATTATATTATAGCAGTACTTATTTTCCCTGAATCTAAGCAAACAATTTGGGGATTTTAAAGTTAGAGACCTTAGAGATTATACCTGACATAAAATAATGTTAAGAAAAAAATATACCAACATACATAATAGGCTGAACAATCACAGCGCTAGTCCTGTCATTTATAAGGGCAATATTAAAAACTCTAAGATTATTAAATCTCAAACCTTTTTTTTCTTCTTGCTTTTTTTCCCACATTTTTATTGGTACATTTTAATTGAACATAATGGTAGAATTTGTTGTTACCTATTCATACATACACAAAATATAACAATATAATTTGGTCATTGTCATTTCCTAGTATTTCCCCTTTCCCCCTTCTCCTCCCTCACCCTGGTCCCCTTCCTCTGATCTTCATCAAATTTTCATGAGATTCATCCCCCATCCTTCTTTTCTTTTTTCCTCTCTACCTTCCACATGAGAGAAAACATACAACCCTTGACCTTTTGAAAAACTCCAAATCTTTTCAATGACAAAAATATTCATCCTTTGTTTCATAAAAAGGTTTTTAAGGGAGCATATTTTAAATATAAGAAATATTACAAAATTACATATAACAAATAATTTATTTTTTGATCAACGCACAACTAAATTTCACATCTATAAGTAGAAATATAATAAACAATATATCCTAGAACAGTATCAAAATAAAATTCACAATTGATTAGTAGATCCCCAAAATCCAATCTCAAAAACATTAAGTACATGTTATGATTTTTACAAATGAGAAAAACCTTTTAAAAAAAATAGAATATTCTACCTATATTTTTGTATGGCACAAATGATTCAAAATATTAAATGTTAAATCAAACCAACAAATTTCTTCTTTTTTGTTACTGCTTCAAAAATATTTATAGCTATACTTAAGTCTTATAGAGACTTACTATCTCTGATTGAAATAAGAATGTCATATTTACCTTCCACCCTTCTAGCAGATAATAACCAGGAATCATTTCTTGAAACTAAGTTTTCACTTAATAATACAGGCTATACCACTTTATATAGTTCACAAATTAAGAAACATTTTATAATCGTGATATATATAAGGACTTGTAACTACTTTGTTATCTCCTTTAATCTTTTTCAAGAAAATAATTGTGTATTTTAAACAGGGCACTAGTACTTGGGACTGTAAGTCGAATATTATCACCTCTCTCTTTACTCACTAATAGCTTTGGTAAAACACTTAACCTGCCTTCTAACCTAGTACCTCCACCAGAGTAATAGCAATACTCTAATCTATTTGGTATCTATTTTTAGATGCATCAGAGAGTGAAAAAGCCATTATATGATCAATCTCTTACATCTTTGGTGGATAACTATGCTCTATTTAGAAGGGCCATTATGTTGAAAACTCCATTTTGCAGATGAAATTCATTTAGCAAATATGCTAATTCTAGATAGGCAATGATAACCACAGGAGACCAGGAAGATGAGCAATAACATGGGCTCATGAAGTGTACTTTCCTTGAAAAAATGTCTATTTGCTCAAATTAGAGAGGGAACATTGTAAATTGTACATCATTTGGGAAGACTTTTATCTCTTTTTCATTTTCAGTCACATTATAATATTGGATATAGCAGCTCCAGAAGTTAACAGATTATTGCTTTTATAATTGAATTCGTAAAGTTTCACGTCATGAAATTATATAATTACGTTCTGAAACATCACAGAAGCTCAAAATATATCTATTTGTAATCATCATAATGTGTACATCTGATCAGGACCCAGCTATGTTCAAGGCCCGGTTCAATCATCATCCATATTTTCTGCCACAATCAAAGAAAACACATTGTGTGCTCTTAGTGGCCACTAAGAGAAGATGCTGTCTTGCAATGAGAGGAAATCATGAACAAATAAAATAACCATCCTTCATTGGGAAAAAAAAAAACTGCAGAGAAAATGAGAGTCCTGAAAATGTCTAGTGGCACTAATTAAATGAATGTTTCAAAACAATGATTTGCCCCATAGTAGCACCAGCAGCAGAGTAGCCCACAATTATGTGACTGCACTAAAAATAAAGTCTACTCCTTTTTCTGCACAGTGAGTTGCAAAAAGTTCACAAATAGATGTATTTTCAGGTATGGGAACAAAATGACATAAAAGATGACCTTGTTATCAATAGATGTTAGAGTTAAGAACATTTCAAGGAAAAACCCATTAGTATACAAAGCACTTGAGCCCAGCTGAAGTCCTCAAAAAGAACAATATCCCTTTGAACAGGGACAAGAATAACCAAGCTGTACATGGATGTACCTTACATCAAAGTTCTAGAAAGATCATTGCTAAGAATACATCCCATAAACCACAGCGTCAAGTTTCAGTCTTCATGCATGCCCAGAAAAGGAGAAACTGTCATCCATCAATAATAAACAATAAATCAGTGGAGCATGGTGCCATGTGCCTGTAAGTCTCAGCTATTCAGAGACAGTAGGATTGCTTGGAAACCACAAGTACAAGATCAGCTTGCACAATGCAGCAAGACCTGTCTCAAAATATATATATATATATATATATCTTTTTGAAAAATAATGATAAAACAATGAATCATTTCAAATCTAACATATAGTTCCAAGAAATTTGTTGGAGGGGGTGGGGGTTTGCTGGGGATTGAACCCAGGGCCTTGTGCATGTGAGGCAAGCACTCTTTACCAACTGAGCTATATTCTCAGCCCAAAAAATTATATTTTTGTTGTTTAAAATGTTTCTATGGGTCTCCTAAATCATATAACAACTTTCCTATTCCTAAAAATATCAGCTTTTTTTGTATAAGATAAGTGGTATTAAGACATAATAGTGCCAGGCGCAGTGGCACATGTCTATAATCCCAGCAGCTTGGGAGGCTGAGGCAAGAGGATTTCGAGTTCAAAGCCAGCCTCAGCAAAAGCAAGGCACAAAGCAACTCAGTGAGACCCTGTCTCTAAATAAAATACAAAACAGGGCTGGGGATATGGCTCAGTGGTCAAGTGCCCCTGAGTTCAATCCCTGTTATTAAAAAAAAAAAAAGACAATAATAGGTACTTTGGGAACCTCCAAAAGAAACCCATTAAATGAGTACTGACAGATTGCAGACTGAGCTGGATCCTATCTTAAAGGCAAGAACAATAAAACAATCCATATTCTTTAAGGTACTTTGGTTACATACTAATGGCTAAAACAGCTCTGTGCCCATTTCAGATTAATATTAGCTTCACAGCATTAACATCACATGACAGGGGAGTAGATGGCAGCAAAAGAAACCTTTTACCAGAGGACAACAGAGTTATCTAAGCAAAAACTCAGCATGAAAAGAGCACTACTCCTGATTTCCTAGAATGCCTCCCTCACAAGGGATTATTTCTGATTCCTGGGACAGTGCACAGCAGTTCTCATTGAACACTTAGAAGCACACTTGGTCACACCATGCTCTGCCTTATTAAATGATCTATGTTGAAACCACTCATTTTCATTTCCTTTACATCAATAAATGCCAAAAAAAGAGTGATAAGACTGTCATTTACCCTCAATTTCCTAAATAATGTAAGGGTTAGAGGGAGTGTGTAAGAACTCCAAAATAATAGGCTAATACATTCCCTAGTTCCCCTTTCTCCTTTATTTCTACTAGGAGGAAACCTATTTCAGATAATATCTCCTCTAAAGTTTAGGAGGCTGAAAAGGATTGCTGCTTAACCCCTCCCAAAAAAATATTCTCAAACATAGTGATTTTCTGAGTAAATACTTTTCAAAAGGAAAGTGCTACATAGAATATAAAACCTTCCCTGGAGTGCTCATAAAGAGTAACATAAAAGTAGTTATAAGTGGAAAAAAGAAATAATATTCTAAGAACTGCAAAAAAAAATCAAATACAAGTGATTCTACCCTCCCTGCCTCTTACACCCATGCAAATGTATACACACAACAGACTCAACTACAAGTTTTAAGAGCAACTACAAAAAAGCAAAAAGGAAAATGAATCTTTGTTTCACAAAGAGAGAAAGTATGTCATAGAAAATAGCAGACCAAAGAAATCTTCCTTCACTTACTCAGTGAGCCAAAAACAATGCTTCTAGACCTATGGTAGGCATAATTCACATTTCATTTTCAGAAAACATTCTATTCAAACTAGCATAACAGAATGAAGATGTTCTGAGGTAATTATACTCCTATCCTAATTATCATTACATTAAGATTTTGCAAAACAAAATCTACAAAGCTGTTGCAATCAAGTTCTTAATGCGGAAAACTAAACATGATATTAATGGGGAGAAAAAAAAGTTTATGTAAAAATACTCCTTAAATATTTCTTTTAAAAACTTCCAAATGAATATTAAAATCAGTCATATCAAGTAACTTATACAAACTATAAAAACAATTGCAATAAAGAGTATTGAGAAATCAAAATTACCAATTGTATTTCAGACTTGATTCCATACACATAAAACTAAACCAGAGTTCATGAAGATGTCTAAAAGAATTCTTATACAGATTTTTTTTTAAGAACAATAGTTCATTTCTTCAGAGATAGATCATCCACATCAAAATCCTCCTTGTTTAGCATCACCAATGGCTCCCCAAACATCAAAGACAAATTCATCTGGGAATGCAAAGTCTCCAAGAGTTTCATCAAGTGCCGTGGCAAATTCATCTGGATTATTTTTGTCCTTTCCAGCTTCAAACATTGTGGTGGCTGTCAAAGACAATTAAGGATAAATGAGATAGCATCATAGGACTGAGAAAAATTATCCCAGGAAGTGCTTTCCAAATGTAGCATGCATACATATCATATATTCCTAGGCAAATTAAAACATGAGGATACCCATTTTCACTTCTCAAGGTAGCAAAGACATTTTTTTCAACAATCTGTCTACTACACCAGTTTGGCAGCTGTCACCCACCGACCTCTCTCCTACCTTGAAGCTAATTGTTTGGGAACCTCCAGCATTCCTATGTGCAGAACAAGATATTCTGAAAGAAAACCTTGTAGTACACCCCTTCCCAGCCTCCCAAGAGTCATTAACTATCTAAGATGTAACAAAAAGAATACAGCATCACATGTGTGGTACTCCTGCCAAAGAAGTGCAGCCTGAATGTAATTATGGGGAAAAAAGATTGGACAAAACAAGATGGAGAAAGTTATTCTACAAAATAACTTGCTTTTACCCTCCAAAGTATCAAGGTCATGACAATCAAATAAATAAGGGATAACTATTCAAGTTGACTCAGCATGGTATGTAAACGCAACATATTATTTTTTAACACACTCTTTTGCTATCATACCTATAAAGAACTTGATGAAACATGAATAGGAATAAATATTGGATGGCAATAATGTCTCATCATTATTTTCATTATTTGGTTGATTATATTCTGGTTCAATAGGGGAACACCTTTGTTATAGGAAATACACAAAACTTATTGGGGGACAATGGGATATCAGTAAGGTAACTTATTCTCAAATGGTTCAAGACAAAAATGTCTTTGCACTTCACATGTAACTCTTCGTAAGTTTGGGATAGTTTCCATTGGGGAAAAAAACAGTAATAAAGAAGAGGAATTGAATCTTTTCTCTTAATTGTGATCACCCTCCTTCACCTCTCAACCATGACCCAAAGTGCTCTTGATTGATCATTAACCAGAAGTACTTCAAAAAGGAGGGAGGTCCTCGGCTATAGTGAACTGCTCCAGCCACAGATCCTGCCAAGTTACTCAGACTCTTCTGAAGCTCCCAAGTTTATTAAAACTTTTCCTATTTTTAAAGCATATGGCAAGATTAGGCAGGAGGTATTAAAACCAATATTCCAAAATACTGGTTTGACTTTATAAATTTGAATATTGAAAAACAATTTGGAAACAAGTGACAAAATTCTCAAAAATGTCATATCCATTAATCTACATAACATTTCCACCCTTGGGAATCTATACTTTAAAAATAAAATCTTGGGTTGGATTTGGAGCTCAGAGGAAGTATGCATGCAGCATACCGAAAGCCCTGAGTCCAACCCCCAGTAACAAAAAAAATAAAATAAAATAAGAAAAAAATAGAAAATAATTTAGCATAAAGGTATAATTAAGTATCAAATAAATCTAAAATGTAGAAGTAATAAGTAATCTCTACTTCAATGAAATGTATGGGTGAAATACTTGATGAAATATTTTGAAATAATTTTAATGTTTATGAACAATTTGTAATCCCTTGGGGAAATATTCTCTCTTAGTATTTACTGAAAAAAGAAGTTATATACATTTTACATTATAATCACAACTACATTTTTACAAAAATCTATACATGGAATAGATAAGTAGAAATAATAAACTAGGGGCTGGGAATGTGGCTCAGTAGTACAACATGTGCCTAGCACATGTGAGGCCCTGGGTTGGATCCTCAGCACCACATAAAATAAATAAAATAAAGGTATTGTGTCCAACTATAACTAAAATAAATAAGTAAATAAATATTTTTAAAAATAAATAATAAACTAATTATAGTAAAACAAAAATGTGAGGATGGGGGATATAGCTCATTGGTAAAGTGCTTGCCTTGCATGCACAAGGCCCTGGGTTCAATCCCCAGCACCATCAAAACAAAAAAAACAATTGTGTGTGTATGCATTATTAGAGGTGGAACCCAGAACCTTGTGCAGCAAGGCAAGTACTCTACCACTGAACTACACTCCAAGCCTTTTAGTAAAAGAAAATTTTCCACTGGTACTGAGGATCGAACCCATAGCATCACACACACTGGACCAACACTCTACCACTGAGCTTTAATCCCTTTAGTAAAATATTAATGGCGGAATCTAGATGACAAATGGAGAAGAATTCACTAAAACATCTTTCAACTATGCTTTATGTTTTAAAACTACAATAGTAGAATATTGGGAGAAACCTCTATGCAGACAATGAATAAAAACTTTTTAAAACATAGTACAGAAATTCAAATAGGAGAGGAAAAAAATTTCTCATGAGTACTAAGTAGCTGTACTTGGGAAATTATTTTCTAAACCATTAAGGAATCCCTAATATCTATAACCGGTGCTTTATCTCTTTCAACAGGAAGTCTTAGTACTATGTTCAAGAAAAGATAAAAGCTCCCTCAAAAAAGAAACCAAATGCTCAGAAAAGTGTACTCCATCCATATTCCCCACAATCCTGGAGGTTCCATCTGCGTCTCTCTCCTCCTTAGATGTCCTGCCTTGGTGAACTGATCTGCAATCCCTGTGTAAACAAGACCTTGCTGCAGAGAAGCCCCAGACCTTTACTTCCACCCCCAACTTCTCCTGAGTCCCACCCTCCCATGTCTGAATAAGTGGTGAGCAATCCTTCCTACGTGTGCCATTAGCATCTCAAGCAGCAGATCCAGAAACCAAACATCATCTACCCCTTCAGAAACGGCTACCCTTTCTCCTGTTTCCACCATTGTCCTCAGTATGGTAAGCTCTCTCTTGTTATCTTCCTCTTCTCCCAGTCCTTCAGCCTGTGAACCAATACTGCCTCTCCTTTGTTCTACCTTTGTAATTGCTCTATCTGATCCTTTCCATTTCATTCCCACTGCCATCATGCCATTTACTTCATCTCTAAGTCTTGTCATCAGCCCATTCCACATGGGCACATTAAACTCTTCTTCCTAAAGCACAGCTCTGATTCCATAGATAATAGAACAAAAGGACAAGGAAGCTCTGTTCCACCTCTTGTCTTTCTCATCCCCATATATAAAAATATTCCTTGTGTCACCAACTTCTTCAAAACTCTAAACCCTAGTTTGTCATTCTGATCTGAAGCACCTCTGGATCCCAAATGACCCTACTCCTCTACACTAATGCTATGCCCTCAAAAATATGATTACTCAAAATGCTATTTTTAATCCTTCTGTCTTTGCCTTGGATAATCTCCTAGTCACCAGCTCCACCATCAAAATCCTTTCCCTCCTTGAAGGCCCTCTCCTCGATGAAACTCTTTGTCCACAAATGGAAGTCATATCTGAATTCTCTAAACCCTTCTGCAGGCATTTTTCATACTAAAGGTGCAAACAATCTAACTACAATCTTGATAAAATACAGATTCTGCTTCAATAGTTTTGCAGTTATGCCTGAGATTTTTCCCTTTCAACAACTCCCAGGTGGTATTTATCCCCAAGCAATACTGAAGTAATAAGATCTTACAGTACAAATTCATAACAACAGAATTATAGAAACAGCCTACATGCTAGTTGTCAGCGGATGAACAGATAAAGAAAATTGGTGTATATATTCACAGTGGAATATTATTCATCCATAAAGAAGAATGAAATCATACCATTTGCAGAAAAATAGATGAAACTGGAGATTATAATGTTAAGTGAAATAAACCAGACTCAGAAAGACAGTATTGCAGGTCTTCCCTCATATGTGGAATATAGGGTTGGGTGTGTTGACTGTGAAAGTAGAATGGACAATGTTAGAAAAGAGGAAAGGAACTAGGGAAGGAAAAGGAAAGGGTAAGAGAAGGTACTGGATTAGTAGATATTATATGCATGTATGAATATGCCACAGTGAAACCCATTATTTTGTATAGTTGAAATGCATTAAAAATAACATTAATAAAAGATCTTATAGTGCATATTCAACATTGCTCAAGTCTTAAAATCTACACTGATCTTATTTTTATGTATTGTTTTCTATCCTACTAAGGAATAAAATTTCCAGTAGATCTTGATTAGCTTACTCAGTTTTTCATGCCCACAGGAACTAGTTCAGTGTCTTACATGTAGCAAATACTGGTGGATGGGTAGAGACAAAGGAGGTTTTGTAATTAAACTTAAATATTGTGCATATTGGGGGTTGGGGTTGTGGCTCAATGGTAGAGTGTTCACCTAGCATGCATGAGGCACTGGGTTCAATCCTCAGAACCACATAAAAATAAAATAAAGATATTGCATCCACCTAAAAATTAAAAAATAAATATTTTTTAAAATACTGTGCAAGTTGGCACAGCTAGCATGCTTAGAGGAAGTGAAGCCCAAAACTCTGGACCCATAGCTAAGATGTGAAAGAAGAGCAGCCAAAACATAAATGTTAAGTATAACTGAAATAAGACTCAAGTTCGGAATTTTGCTTAATCTACCTTTTAACTATTTCTTATAGGTCCGACAAATAGCATTTACTGAGTCAATTGCCTAAAAACTTAAGAGTAAAATATATGGAAGAAGAAATCTAGTTGAAAAAGAAATAAAATGCACACAGACAAAAGACATAAGAAAATGTATAGACTATTCAGAAGCAGAAACAACAGTATAGATGATGATTTTAAGGGTTGGAATAATCCATGTAGGCATTCACTGATGGACTTGGAATCAATCAAAATCAATCAATCTATCTATCTATCTATCTCCCTCCCTCCATTAATACACACACACACACACACACACACACACACACACACAACTGTAAAGAGGGAAAAACCCTTGGCCCATTTGGTACATTGTTTTTTTATACCTCCAGGAACTCAGCAGTATTGTCTAGTGCACTGAGCTCAGGAATGTGCTGTGGACCTGGCCTGCTTTAACTTACAGAATCGCTGCTTTTGTTTCCTAATTATAAAATGAGAAAAAATACTGCTTCAAGATGTCCATACTACATCTTTGCGGCAAAATGTATAATCTCACTCATGCACTCATTCTGACATAGAAGAAAAATGGAGGAAAACCCCCACATCCAATGCAGTCCCACAGTTTCTCATACCTCCAGATATGCAGTCCTGTATTTTCTAACTCCACCCCTCTATTGTTATTGCTACTAATAATTATTAGTGATAATTGCTGAGAATGATAATAGTTGCATATGTTATTTATGATGTAACAGGAATTTTATAAACATTATTTAATTTGATGACTTAGCAATCCTATGAGTTTGTTTTTATTGTGCCCTTTTTACAGATATGAAAATCAAAGCTTAATAATTTGCCCAAAGGTTAAAGCTTCAAAGTAATGAAATCAGAATTCATACTCCCTGTGAATTCTGTACTTTTGTGCCTCTCAACATTTTTCAGTATTTACTTTGAGAGAGGTACTATAGAAGTGGCAAAAAAATACTAATTAGGCAGCTTCATAATTGTGCTAGAAATACTGTAATTGAAAACTGCACTTGAACATGTTATAAATTTTTGCTAATATATAAACATAATGTTTAAACATCCTTATAGGAGAAATGAATGTTATAATTTTATCCTTTTTGATAAAAGATTACAGCTCTGCTTTAAGAGAAAATCCAGCTGGGCATGGTGGCACGCGCCTATAATGCCAGCAACTCAGGAGGCTGAGGCAGGAGAATTGTAAGTTTAAGGCCAGCCTCAGCAACTTAACAAGGCCCTAAGCAACTTAGTGATAGACCCTGTCTCAAAATTAAAAATTTTACAAAGGCTTGGGATGTGACTTAGTGATTAAGTGTCCCTGGGTTCAATCCTCAGTACCAAAAGACAGAGAGAGAGAGAGACAGAGAGAGAGAGGCCAAAAAAAACTTCAGCACAATGAAAAAGTTTTCTTATATATTAATACACTGTATAGCTTATATAATACATTAACATAAGACAGTACTGAAATGATTTTTATCTGTTAACTGAAATAGATCTGCAATATATCGTAGTATAATACTTGAATACAGTTTGGCAAAAAAAAATTCTACTGAAAGTAGCTTTTATACCACACATAGCAGCTAAGTGCTGACCTCTCATGGCCATTCTGAAAATATCTTATATCATCACCACCCCTGAACTTTCATTTTACTATTAATGACAAATCTAGTTTGATGACATAGGCCAATATAGTTTCCATTAAGTTTTTAAATATTTAAACATAATTATTAGATATTTTTAAATTACTCCATGGCTTAAAATCTTAGTAGCAAAGTCCTAGAATTAAATCTTAGTTCTAACTTGTTAGTTAATTTAGGGCAAGTTGCAGAACTTCTCTGAATCTCAGCATTCAAACCTACAAAAAGGCAAACAGCAGTACTTAGATAAAGATTAGTCATCACTGTTAACTTGACCATAAAATCTGTAACTGTATCTCACTCTATGGAAGGTCTTCAACATTTATACTCCTTAAGACTTTTCATAAGTATCAACCATTTAAAACAATTCGCATGAGTCAAACACCAAAAACATAGCCAATATAGAATATATTCTTTTTTTCTTTTAAAAAAACAAGCTTTATTGAGATATAATTCACACACTGTATAATTCAACCATTTAAAGGGTGAAATCTGAAGCTGGGGGTGTCACTCGGTGGTAGGGTACTTTCCTAGCATGGGCAAAGCCCTGGCTTCAACCCCCAACATCAAAAGAAAGGGAAGAAGGAGAAGGGGGAGGAAGAGAAGGGAAAGAAGAAGAGGAAGAGGGGGAAAAAACTTATATGATACAATTTCCCATTAAGTTAGGTCAATTTAGATAAAACCTCATAGACTCAAAATCTTCTAGGACCTTTTTTTGTTGTTGCAACTGGTTGGTTGAAAAATCACAGTTCACACCTTAACTTTACAACCAAATAAAGCACATTCATCTTCAGAGTTAACTTCCTACAAAAATTCATTTGAATTCATTTCTATTTTCAAATAATAAATATACCCTAATTACTTTTTCTTTTTAAGGACAGTGTTTTCAATCACTTTATTATTATGCTATTTTTTAAAAAAAAACTTTTAACTTACATAATTCCAGAATAATGTGATATCAATGTAATTTGCATTAAGAAATAACATTTCTGAAAGTCAAGAAATACTAGGAATACATAGAAGTAAATATATTCATTAATCTGTTAAATAAGTCTCACATTTGTGATTTATATTTCATGCTAATAATATCTGAATAGTAGAAAGCCCTAATTTAAAACATTCTTCAAATAATTATTTTCCTAACACTTTTCCTTCCTAAGTGACTGATCACATTGCTAATCATTATAATGATAATGTGTCATAGTAACTGGAGGAATTTGCTACAGATGATTAATTATCCTTACAAAGAGATTGCTAATTTATTTACCAAAGAGATTACTAATTTATTTACAAGGAATTTGTGAGGGATGTTTAGTGCCCTGTGTGAACTTCTAGAATTGTGAGTTTTGTATTTTTCTTCAAGGATCAAGAAACTAGCATGAGTGTTTTTCAGTTACAGACTTCATTTATATATCCTACTATAGAAATTTTTAAAGTTTGGACAGGCAAGAAAAAATAAGTATAAAATCTGTAAATAAAATGGACCTTGGTTTGGACTGAGTTCTTTGCACTAGGCCCAACAGATGAAACCAAAACGGGATCACTCATGCTGAAGCCCCATACCGACAAGCCAAAACTAAATTATTCATCTCATCTTCCAAGAAATCACGGTGAGAAATAATAGCCAAATCCTAAAACAAGCCAGTTTTTGCTGGTATGACAAGGAAGTCCCCTGATATAGCCTTTATGAGGCAAGTAAACTTGGAATGACCACTTGTATTTGTTGTTTTGCTTTCTTCAGCCCTTTCCTGTCTATGAAGCCAGTCTCCTCTGTTCAGCTCATTAAAACATTCTTCCTTCTATTTTATAAAATAAGATGCTACCCAATTTTCAATTCTAGAACTGCAAATAAAAACCAATTAAGACTTGAAAGTACATTTGTTTTCATTTTGTCTTTTGACAATTCTATAAGAAAAATTTAAAATAAGTGGAAATTGAATAGATAAGGATGAATGAACTTCAAATTCTCTACCTGGTAGCAGGTAAACAAAATAGGCAAGTCCTTGACTTTAGAAAATGTATTCAGCACCTGATTCAAATGCACACACGCATCAGTGCATGCAGGCACAAACTGTACCCTGCAACCACAAGGAAAGAACCAGGCCTTTCTCAATCTTGACCCTTGTATTTCAGGATACTCTCAGCTCCAGAGATAGAGCATTTGGCCCAGAACTAACCATCCCCTGTTCTCAGGGACTGCCAACCCAAGACAATCTTTGGCATTTTGTTCCAATGACTTGCCCCTCCATCTTTCCCATTGTGCTTGATGCTAAGAGGATGGGGAGAGTGGAGCTGTTGCAATCATTTTGGTTTCATGAGGGACAGCCTGATGCTTCCAGGGGATACCATAGGGACACGGAATGAAGCCAGAATTGCCAGAAGAGAAAATATATTCTTTTTTTTTAATATTTATTTTTTTTAGTTGTAGTTGGACACGATACCTTTATTTTCTTTATATGTGGTGCTGAGGATTGAACCCGGGGCCCCGCACGTGCTAGGCAAGCGCTCTATGGCTAAGCCACAACCCCAGCCCCAAAAAAACATATTCTGATGACACCGTTATAACTCTGGATCTAGCCATTCTTGAAAGCTATCTCTTAACTTTTCAGTTGTAAGAATCTAAAACTTCTCCCTTTTGTTCCTCAAGACAGAGTTAGGGGTTTTATTTGGTTTGGTTTGGCTTCATTTTTGTTTGTAGTTATTTGCAACTGATAGGATTTTAACTGACAAATCATGACCTTGACATCTTAATAATGACCTAATAAACACAGAGAAATCCAACTGCTCAAATGCTTATCAGTCATGTGTCAAGTGTCTGTCTTCTTTTTGTTTTTTAATGTTGCTTCACATATGCCAGTCAAGTGCTCTGCCATTGAGCCACATCCCCAACCCCTTCTCTTTATTTCTGATTAATTGTTCAGAGGGTTTAAGGAACCTCATTAAACTGTACACAACTTTAATATCATAATATACAATTGTATCAATGTACATATGGAAAAATCAGCTAATAAAACCATTTATTTGAATCACAAAATTATTTTCATAGATATTTTTATTCATAAAATAACAGGCAATATCATTCACAATATATAGGTTAAGAATTACCAGAGGCAGGGCAATCACAAGTTTATGGAAAAAAAAACTTTTTTAAGGGGCTGGGCTGGAGATATAGCTCAGTGACAGAGCATCACTGGGTTTAATCCCTAAAAACACACCCAAAAAAAGAAAAAAGAAACCTAAAATTTTTAAAAGTTGACTTATCTTTATACTCATTATTCTTTTCATGATTCTACAAATACTTTTTAATCTTGAAAGGCACAATTGGATATATAAATAAGACATAAATAAGCACTAGATTTCATCAAATTAGAAGATAGGAGACTTCTGAAGATAGCATATTCTTAGAGCAGAGAGAAGCAGTGAGAAGGATCCTCAGACTGAGCAAAGCCAGCACCAAAGTCCCATTGCTGTTGCCACCTTTTCCAAGAGAAAGGCTGAAGGGATGGAGAGATAAAGCCAAGATAATGGGAAATCCAGAAAAGATCCACAAGGTTGTCTGTTAAACCTGCTCCTCCAAAGCCAGAGACCAAGCCTAAAAATACTCTGCAAAGAAGAGAGAGAAGATGCCCAGATGGAAAAAAGGAAAAGCTGATGCTGGCAAGGTTGGGAACAAGCCTGCAGAAAATGGAGCTGCCAAGCAAACCAGGCACAGAAAGCTGGAGGTGCTGCCATGCCAAGAGAAGGGTGTGCATTGTTCCTAGCTGTGTGTTTCTGGTGACTATGCAGTTTGAAATACAATTTCTTATCAAGGTTTATTTTTAAAAAGCATATTCTTACCTAAATCAATATCTCGAATTCCCATGTACAGTTCAAGAAGATCATCAACCTTTTCGATTGCCTTTGCTTTGGTTTCAGAGGGCTTTATCAAAAACAAGAGAAATAAGACATTATATTTTTATAATGAAATATCTTGATTGTCAGGGGAAAATTTGATGTGAAGTCAACTCATGGTGATGTTCTTCAGCTTATTTTAGTGAAAATATCTCAAGAATGTGCTCTGTAACTAAATATAAATCAACACAGTAAATATTTGCTTTTAGTGTTAGCTTTAAATGTTATGGATTCAAAAAAGAAAAGCTGGGAACACAGTTCCAAAGTAGCTTACTATCTAGATGGGGAGATCAAAGTAAAAATAAATGACTATGTAACAATTATAAAGGACATAAATGGTACAAAGGCACTATGGGGAGGAAGCAAATTTATCTAAGAGATATGGAAGACTTCAGAAAGAAGGTGACTTCAGAATTATGCTGTCCAAGTTGGACAAGAAGAGGGGCACTTGAAGCAGAAGGCAAAAGATATGCATAGTCTACGTGAGGTTGTAGGCTTTGCATACTACAGAACTGTGAGAAGCCCTGTGTCACTGGAGAACACAACAACAGCATGATTCGACCTTAAGGGGTCCTGTGTGCACTAAAAGGACTTTGGTCTTTATTGTCTAAACCAGGGTCTCCAAACTCTTGATGGCTCACCCCAACAGTAAAATACTTCTAAACTTCTACTGTTTTTACTTACTTTTTATTTAATTGTATTGTGCATATTTTTATTAATTACATATACATATTACCATATTAATATATCATACACATTATAAAAACACCAAAAAAGAAAATTTTATAAGAATGAGATACTTATGAGATAATGTTCTTAACATAGTTTGCGTTTTATGAACTAATGACACCGATTTTGTTCTTCCTAAAACTGTTAAAATTTTCAGTAAAAAGCATGATTATTTTTAAAATTCTTTTAAAATATTTGGTAAGTCTTATTTATTACATGTTCAGACTATTCTTGGTTTTCTTCACACCTGAAAAGAAATGGCCCAAAGACATTTAATACTCAACTACAGGTCCAAATGTAGATTTCACCATTAGTCAGATTTTCAGAATTTCACATTATTTTCAATATTGTTATAAGTATTTGTTGCTTTGTATTTTCAAAATTTATTAAAGTCATGTATTTTATAGCAAATAAAAATTTATGTTTATCTCCTTAAGGAGATCAACAGTACAATGTTTTATTTTTTTTTTTCCTTCTGGCTGTATATGTTAGGTAAGCACTCTAACACTGAGCTACAACCCAGGCCCCATACATTTTTATTTACAAGCACTAAGCTTAAAAACAGTAACAGACCTAATATATTGCTAATGCCTTCATTATAGTGTATTATTTTTGAATTATCTGTGTAAAGCATCAGGATATACAAAGTAACTCAGGCATTAACATTTGTATCTATCTACACAGCCTCACTCTAAGTTGCCATAACAAGTATCAGTACTCTGCCACACACAACAGTTTGCCACTCTAACTCCTGCATAGCTCTTGATCTATCACCTCTTGTCTGGCCACACTGTTTGCCTGAGTCTATTCCTCATCTTTTCTTATGCACAGAAGCTTCCTTTTACCCCCCTTGCCATCACCCTCTCAAATCCATCCTGCTTAACAATCCATCCCCTCAAACCAAGGGATTTTTCTCTAACACAAAACTGACTGCATTGCTCCCCAGTTCTCATAAGCCCTCTTGCATCCAGACTCCAGCCAATTCCTCCAGCCTTATCACCCTCATTCCCCACCAGGTACTTCCAGTACCCACACTTCTATCTCAGGAACAGCTTACCAGCTCTCCAAGCCCATCATTGTGTCATGTCTAAGATAGGCTTCTCCCCATCTTGCATGAACTTCATCATTTTTTTCTTGAAGGAAACTTGCTGATATCCTTTCTTTCCCCAGACCTGACAGCTACTGGTCAGCCCTTTCTTTGTGTCACTGTGTACCTTGTGCAAAGCCCTGTTCAGCTGGTTCATAATGGCTTCTTGTCACGCCACTCTCCCTTAGAGGAGGAGCAAGGCCTTTATCCATCTTTATATCACCAGCATCTGGACTGTGCAGACCCAACAATGAATAAAGTATGAGGAATGCAAACAGAATACCACTCAGTGTTCAGAATTTGTGTCAGGTTGTAAGGGGATGATTTGTTTCAAATCCTATAAATCCTTTAAATACTTCAATCCTTGAAACTAGATTACAAGTCATTTGTATCAAATTTAATATTAGCCCCAAAACCGCTTTTTCCTCTCATTATCAGCTATTTTTTAATTGGCCTATTTAATTAAGCAGGCTATGCAAACAGGGATGGAATTTTTGGATGTTTCATTTTAAATAAATCTTTCCTACCTCCTCCGACAGATTTTAAGAATTCTTTTTCATCCTAGCACCTAATACATAGCAGGTGCTTAACAAATATTTATTATGTTAACTATTAGAAGGGACATCCTGCTCTCCCTGTTTCCTTTTCAAGCTGCTTCAAGTCTGCTCATTTTCCCTCACAGCCTCCAGCAGAAAGCAGGGCTGGCCTTCTCCTCACTGCCCACTGCCAGTTCCTTCCCACTGTTCTTCCATTCTCTTAAATGTATTTCTTCCACTCGGGCTTGTTCACTTGTTCAAGAAACAGTAATGGCCTTCGGCAACACACCAGGCAGTATGCTCAGCAATGAACACGTAAAGGCTCAAAATGACCAGGTGCTACTGTGTGGGTTTTGTTCACATGCCTCCTCAAATCTCATTTTCAAAATGCTTTTGACTCTACCAGGTCTGTCGGTTGCCATTTACCTCCAGATCAAACCTTTCATTCCCCCAGGACCTAAGTACAGGGTATCTATACATTTCCAAGCAAAACAGGAATCAAATGAACAGAACATACCATTTCTTCCATGGTGGCAGGACCGTTAGATCTCAGACGAAGGGTTCCTCTTGCAGTTCCAATTTTGTCTGCTGAAGACTTTCCAGCTTTTGATCTTGGTTCTATCTCTATAAACATATAATGAGGGGAGAAAGTTTTATGTGTATGTGTGTGTGTGTGTACATTTATATTCAGAAAGAATTCCAACAGATTGCCGCAAAAGCAAACACAGTTTCCATCACAAAAGTTATTGTAGAGATTTGACAAAAGGTATGCCTTCTTACAGAATTACCTAAAAAAAAAAATTCATCTGTCATTCATTATTCTCATTATTCTTTTTGTACCTACAAAAAGAGGGAATATGTAAAGTGTACCAATAAGAAAGGTTGGAAGGCAGGCACAGTGGTGCATGCCTGTAATGTCAGAAACTCAGGAGCCTGAGGCAGGAGGAGCAAAAGTTCAAAGCCAGCATCAGCAACTTAGCAAGTCCCTGTCTCAAAATAAAAAATAAAAAGGGATAGGGATGTAGTTTAGTGATTAAGCACCCCTGTGTTCAATCACCAGTACCAAAAAGAGAGAGAGAGAGAAAGGAAAAGAAAGAAAGAAAAATTAGAAGTTCTAAGGAAGACAAAGTAGAACAGTTGGCTTTGTTATAAGAGCAAAGAGCTGTGAGTAGCCAAAAAGCAGCATTGGACTTCATCCAGGTCGTGAAGATGGGAAAGAACCATGTCTTAACAGAAGAGAGAAACAAAGGCACTATTATTTGTGTACCAAACCTCCACTTGATGCATTATGCACACAATCCTATTTAATATTCATACCACCCTCTCAGGAATACTATCACCCTCATTTTAAAAATGAGGTAACTGAACTCAGTAAGAAGTGTAGCTGGGATTCAAAACCAGGTCTTGTGATTCCAAAGTCAACATGCTTTAATCAACCTCACTCCAGCCAACACAAGGATAAATTTAAAGATAATTCATAGAGAGAGAGAGTCTAAAGAAAAGTAGGCTGGGAGCAGTTCCAAGGGAGGAATTCCCCCACAGACAGCAGGGACCAGAACAGGGAGGAGTAGTCCATGAGAAGCTGCCCTTTTCCTTATGTTTGTTTTGTGTTTTCTTTTTGTTTTTGCAATGCACTAAGTCACTCACCCACCCCCAATCCCAAGTGAAAGGAAAGGGTAGGGAGTGAGGATGATTGGAAGAAGTGTGCCATATCCAGAGCACTCCAACACTTCCTGCCCTGCTAAGAATGGAAATGTGGACCCTACTAAGCCAGATTTATTGTTTTGCAGAGAAACTGGATACTCAAGAGTTTGCATGAATTTCCTGATTTTTTCAGATTGGGTAATTAAGTTAAACATTTTAAAATAATGTATTGGCAAAAATAAGAGATCAGATTTCAAACACAGGCCACCAGTTTATAATCTCTGCAGATATTTCCCATGTCCCCAGGGGTGAGGAAGAAGTATGGAGAGGATGCTGCACCCAGAGCTGGAGACTGAGCTCCGGAGACTCACAGGACCAGCTGATAAGTGCAAGCAGGTAACAAGGTCCATGCAAAACTCCCAAGACACAGACCTCAAGTGCCTGCACAAAGGCATTCTTACAAATTTGGAAACTAGAATAAACCCCACTTTTAGCCAAGTACTGCATTGGTATTGGGAATATATCCCAAGGTGATTAAAGATTTTGCATATTAATTTTACATTGCATTTGGGGATAGAGTCACCAAAACATAAGTTTTCCTCTGAGAATGAAAGTATAAAAAATTGATCATGCAATAAGTAGAACAGCTCCCCCTAAGCAAAAAAAAAAAAAAAAAAACTGTAAATGGTGGCTAAAAAGTTTTGGTTAACACCCAAATGCTAGTCCTGGGGACCAAACAGGTTCTCAGAAAACTAAAGCTTTATCAACAAGCCTCCAGCAGTTGCCTTGCCACTCACCCTATTCCCTGAGGGAAGAAAGGATTCCCAGATGCTCGACAAAGAGCATCCAAAGAAAAAGACTGGGTTGGTCTGTCATCAGCACCTTCCAGGATTCTGTACCGCCTAGTGACTTAAGTGTTCCCACGCCAGAGTCACACACATCCCTAAAGTGATGAAGATAGTCTCAGCATAACAGCACTAACCATTAAACAAACAGCACATGGGCACACACAGACACACCAGCCCACTGTGATTTCACCAAGCAACCTATTCAGTATAGTTGTCTTCCCAAAAAAAATTCCTACAAGGTATAAAATAAACTACTCAGATAACACATGCTTTGGTCAACTGCTACATATATATTTCTAATTGTAAGGCAATTTATTGGCATTATGACTTATCAAAGTGTCTCTTGTAAATTTTGTGAGCATGATGTATTCCTGGAAATTTGAACAACTCTGAATTCATTGGGGGAAAAAAATAAGGTTTCTGATATTTATAAAACTAAGGACTCAGACATAGGACTATAGGGCTTCCCACTTAAGAACTCAGCTGGCCTCCCTAGACAATGTCTCTATCTTTTCTTGCTCTTACTTGCTCTTACCAGTACCCAGAAGGAAAAATGTATGTAAAATACAAGATTTTTTAAAGTAATAAACTATATTTAGAGCAGTTTTATGTTCACAGTAAAATTGAGCATTAAGAATACAAATTTCCTATATATCCCTACCCCCTCACACACGCACAGCCTCCTCCATCATCAGCAACCCCCACCACAGCAGCACATTGTAACCATGGATGAATCTATACTGGTGTGTGTGTGTGTGTGTGTGTGTGCTTGTGTGTGCGTCTGTGTATTTTTTACTTTTTTGTAGTGGGAATTGAATTAAACCCAGGGGCACTTTACCACTGAGCTATATCCCTAGCCCTTTTTAATTTTGAGTCAGGGTCTAGCTACTTAAGGCTTTGCTAAGTTGCTGAGGCTGACCTTGAACTTATAATCCTCCCACCTCAATCTCCTCAGTCTCTGGGATTACAGGTATGTACCACCATACCCAGCTGGTACACCATTTTCACCCAGAGACCATAGCTCACATTAGGGTTCACTCTTGGTATTGTATATCCTATAGATTTGGATATATGTATAATGACATACATCCACCATTGTAGCTTCGAACAGAAGTATCACTTTACCCTAAAAATTCTGCATTCTGTCTATTCATCCCAGATTTTTTTAATCATTATGTATTTACTAAACCATCTTCCTCTTGAAAGTGGCATGCTCACACTAACCACTTGGGGGCACCAAAGCAGAAGCTAAATTTTAAATTCTGGCTTGCACTGGGCTCCAGAAGGACAGTTTTTAACCTCCAAGGAAAGAGCGGCCAGTTTTCTCCATGATCCTGTGGTTCAGGTACATAAGTCGACCTGTTTATACATGAAAACAGAAGGATTCTCTTGTTCACCCGCAAGGGAAAAAAAACAGGTTTTGTGTTCTGGGAATGTTTTAAAAATTCTGAATGTTAATTGTCTGCTCTACTTTAGGGAATGCTGGCCTGCTTAAGCTTGTCTGACTAGCGAAGCTGCACCCTAAATCAGTTACTTCATGTGAATGGGTCTGCATGATGCCTTTCACAGGGCTGACCTAAGAGGGGATGTGGTTTACACCGCAGATACAAATAACCAGCCTGCAGATTCACTAAGTTCATTGGTTCTCCCCACTCCACCAGCAAACATAGGGTCCCTGCCAGGCCTGGGTCACTAAGGGCACCGGAACACTCCCAGCTTGTGGATACCTGGCTGCTCCCACAGTTGAACTGCATATCATCAAGAAGCTGTCATATTTGTCCCCACGTTTTCTTGTGGCAATTGTAATTTTTATTCTGATTTAATTTAAAAATGCATGAGCTGATGAAATGAGTGTGAAATGAGGAGTTATTATTGCTCCAAAAACTAGGTTGACTGCTTTGGAATGACTCCATAAGAGTTATTTAAAAAAAAAAAAAAGGTGTGGGCAAGACGATTCTAAGAGATTAGTAAAAAAAATCTTTAAACATCCATCATTTCACATGTCTGGTTTTTAAAAATGAAAGGAGCTCACAGATATGCATTAACATTGTGATTATATAAGAAAGACTTCATAGACCTCTAATTTGTGTCCTTTACTCCAAGAAAAAGTCTTCTCCATCAAGAGTGGTAAAAAAAATGTATATTTCTATGCTTTAAATTAAAACATTTATATGTACACGTATCATTCTTTATGAGGCTCTATTTTAATTGACATTTTTAATAAACACACAAACTCCCAGTCTCTGCTATATAGCAAGGCTCAGGCATTGGGAGTGAGAAAATGGGGAAGGCAGTAATGTATCTGTGTCTAGTCCCCACCTCACCCCCATAAAAAACTGTACCTATATCTTAGAAAAGGAGGAAGTACAGAGAGAAGTAAAAAGCACTATTTCAGGAAAAGTGCATGCAACATGGTTTAGATTCTCAATGACAAAGGTTGACACATGGGGGAGGCTGGGCATTCTTCTCCCCACTTCTGCACAGTATGAGGGCCCCAGTTGGCCTGGAGTATGAAGCATTACTGGCAGAGCAGGGACAGTGAACACAACTTTAACAGAAGGTGGGCACAAATGATAGGGCTGTATCCAACATCTCTTGTTGCTCAGTGAACAAGAGATGGCCCATGGACTAGGGATGTAGCTCAGAGACAGAGTGCTTGGCTAGCATGCACAAGATCCCAATTCAATCCACAGCACCACAGAGGGAAAGAGAGAAAGATGACCCCAAAATGCTCAAAGCAGAGAATGGAATACTTATGATACAGAGGTCAACAGGGGTGCCTAACAGGATTAGACTTCCAGGCACATGTGAAACCCTTGGGAAGATTTAGAAATAGCTATAAAGGGCCACACTGCAATGAACTGGATGTCATGCATGAAAAGAAAGAGGGAGAGAAAAATTAGTGGCATTTTGGTGACAGGAAGCAAATGAATCACCTGCAGTTCAAAATTGTGATAAAACTTGTTCTACTATTTCTCATTAGATTTCAGCTGAAAGTAGAGACACCCCCCCCCCTTATTTTTCTGACTTTTCAAAAACATTATCTGACCCTTTTAAGACATCTTGCAAGGACTTTATGACTGAGGTCTGATCATCTCTACCTTCACAGTGTTTTCAACTGTGGTATTGCAA